GTTAGGCTAAAGTGGCCGGGAGCAGAAGGCACCAAGGCCTGGGAGCCTGTGAGCAGGGCAGGCTTGGGAATTCAGGGTGAATGGGAGAGAAGCAAGGTGGTGCTTCTACACAAGGCCTCGAGCCCCACTTAACCACCCGCTACTGGCATGGCCAGTTGGCAAATCAGTCTCTAAAATGAGATCCACGTGGGTGAAAACCACGCCCAATGAATCCGTCAATCCCAGATCCCTGCAGAGAATCGGCAGAAGGTAAATGTTTGTTCAATGAATGAATGAGCGTAGCTTCCCAGTGTCTATTGGAAGCACCAAGAATGCTCAGGATGGAGCACATTTTATTTTGAAGTCCTGGTCGGGAGGACCTGTTCTGGAGCCAGACAGACATGACTTCAAATCCAGCTCTTCCTTTACAAGCTATGTGGCCTTGGGCCTGTCCTTCCCCTCTGCTTCTTGGTGTCCTGTTTGTAATAGGGACACTATCGCTGCTGGCGGTCTCCCACAGAGAGCAGAGGGCAGCTCCGGTGAGCATTGGTAAACCAAGAGGATGGTCCTCGGTAGACTGCTAATGTGCAAGTGCACATCCCCCCCCCCCCCCCGCCCCCAGTTTTGTCACCTTTAATGAGTTAATGTCTCTTTGTTATTTGTTTGGATTTTTAAAAATCTATAGGACTAGTACTAGACCTACCTCAGAATTATGATAAAGATTAACTAAATTAATATGAGTTTAAAGGGTTCCTGATACATAATAAGTGCTCAGTAAACATTGTGATCCTAATAATGGCTTGGTGAGGACTGCTTCGTAAGTGGCAAAGGGTGGATCCGAGGTGGGAGGTTTGGGGGAAAGGGCCCAGGATTCAGGGTCGGCCTCCTTCTACCTGAAGCAGTTCCTGAATGTCTGCAATTCAACAGTGAACAGAGGGGCAGGCTTCCTGCCCTTGCAGAGCTCTTGGCCTAGACAAGCAGAGCAAAGGGGATGATCTGAAGAGGACACTTCAGTGGGATAAGTGCCAAGACCAAGGGAAGCACCAAACCCCACCCAGAGTAGGGGGAGTCTCTAGATGACAGGCTCAGGTTTCAGTCCCAGCCCACCATACTCCGCTGGATGCCTCTCAGTGATCTGGCCTCAGTTTTCTATTTGTAACAAGCTAATAATAAATACTTCCTGGCCATTTCTGGCTATTCCACAAGGCTCCAGAAAGAACATGGGTGTGGCCATGTGTGCAGGATGAACGTGGACTGTGCCAATGGACAGCTGGAAATCCTGCCCCAGAGGTCCAAAGGGACTGCATAGCACCCCGGGCTGGGTGTCAGGAGAGTGGGGTGTGAGCCCACTCCACCCCAGCTCACAGTGTGGCCTTGGGTGAGCCCCATCCTGCCCACTTTGGGCTCCTATCTCCTCTTCTCTTCTATGTGTTGAAGGCATGGGATGATCAGTGGTTCTCAAACTGGGCTCCAGGGCACCCATGCGTTCCATGGAGAAGCTTTGGGAGTCTGTGCTGCAGAGGACATTGAAATAGCAGGACTTCAGGTTCCAGCCTGCCACCCTTATGTCAATCAGGGAAGTTTCTATTTTTATCTGCTCCACATTTTGAATTCCAAGTAAGATTCCTCTGGAAAACAATAACAACAAAGAAGGGATCCCATGGCTAAAAAAGGTTTGGAAAACCACTGGACCTGATGACATCCAGGGTCCCATCCAGCTCCAATCAAGAAAAGTTAAGGTCTAACTCTGTTCTTCCAAGTGTCATTTAGCCAGCATTTAGCCAGCACTTTCTACTGCCAGAATTGTTCTTCGCCCCCTGCAGATTGTAAGTGCTTAACTCACTAGAGTACCTCCAGGCTCCGTGAGGGCCGTGTGACTGAGGAAATGACTTCGTGTGGCTAAGAAGGTCCAAGGGAGCCATTTCTCCTCCAGGCGTGTCTTGTGGGTGCCTGGGCAGATGACCTCATCACAGGCCAAGTGGTGCTCGGCCAGGCCTACGCTGAGAAGCACCAGGCAGGTGTGTGCAGCAACAGGGTGTGGTCACAGGAGGTCTGTGTGTCTCAGCCCCCAGAGGAGGAAAGCAGAGCGTTCCAGCTTGACACGGATGCTTTCATCCAAGGCATGTGCCATGTGGGAGGAAGTGCCTGTTGCCTTAGCAATGTCCTCAGCAACAGGTCCACTGCCTCCTGCGATCCATCCCCAGCCACCATGCTGCCATCAACACCCTGCACCAGGTGGCCGCAGATCGGATTGCAGGGGTAGTGGCCAGAGCCTGGAGAAGGCCCAGAGGTGGGGTGGTGGGGTCTGACCTCATCTCCAGCCAGCTCATTAAGGGGGAGCAGCCTGGGCTGCTGCATCCAAGCTCAATCCAGCTCTCCTCACCGCCAGAAACAACTGTGGGAGGGGATGGGTGGAGCTGATCTAACAAGCACAGCTTGGTCCCAATGCCCATGACAGTATTTTGGGCAGATTCTGTGTACCTATTGCATGAGCTTTTCTGTCTGGAGCCATGTAGTGACAACACTTGGTGGGTACTTCTGCCAGGTGGTTATGGTGTGCCCCAAATGCAGACAGGGTGCCAACATTCTAGGGGCTAGTTTGAGGGATTACCAAGCAGCCTTGAACTATGAAGTGACCACAGCAGCTATCAAAGTGCTAAGGAAAGGGTGGGGTAGCATGCTGTCTTTTCCAGGTCCCATGTTGAGTATTACAAACACAAAATGCGTAAGGGGCACTTCCTGTCTTCAAGAAGTTCATAGCCTATTGGGAGAGACAGCATTACATTCTCATGTTCACGCCGTAGTGGAGGAAAACATGGAGGAACATGTCGCCACAACTGTGCTGTGTGACGACGGCGGTGAGTGTTTGCTCAGCTATCTGGGCCCAGTTGCAAGTGGGCTCTGCTGGGCTTGCTTGCATGTCTGTTGGCTGGGTGAGGATGGTCTTGGTGGGACAACTGAAGCAATGTGGCTCTGCCCTCCATGTCTCACCCCCCGCAGACTAGCCTGGGCCGCCTTCCGGGCAGTAGTGGAGGAGTAAGAGGCAGCAGAAGCACATTAGAGCTTTTCAGGCCGCTACTTGAACTAGTTACTAACATACCATTGGCTATAGGGCAAGTCCAGAATCAGAATGGGAGGGAGCTACTGAGTTCTGGGGACAAGGGCATGGATTCAAGGAGACCTTGAGAGTCCCATGGGGGGGGGGGGGCGGGGGGGGGGCGGGGAGGCTCAGAGAAGTTTCGTGGAGGAGATATCTGAGCTGAGCCTATACAGCCAAGTCTGAATTTGCAAGTGGAGAATAGAGGTGGAATGCACAGGAAATAGCATGTACAGGGCACAGAGATGACTGCATAGTTGAGCACTTGAGGACACAAGGGCTGGGTAGAAAACATAGTCATTGACCACAGCAGGGTCCAGGTTACTGCCTTGCAGACTCTCTTGAAGAGCTAGGCCTTTATGTGAGGGCAGGAGACACCCAGGAAAGTTTTGAGCAAGAAAGAGGAGACCATCAGATTTGTGCTTTTAAAAGATGACGGTGGCAGAAGAAAATGGGCTAGATGGGAGGGGAGGGGAGGGGAGGGGAGGGGAGGGGAGGGCATGGGATGGGAGGGGAGGGGAGGGGAAGGGTTTGTATGGACAGCATGGGAGTGGCTAATGCAGTGGACCCAGTGAGAGATGCCTGGGCCTGAATTGGTGTGTATCAAGAGGCTGGGGGACTGTCATCCCACACACTGCAAACAGAATAAGCAGGGCCTGAGGACTGATGGGCCAGGTAGCCCAAGATCACCTCCTGATGTTTTGCACAAGACATGCAACAAGTTTTTCCCTATATCTGTGCCAAATAACTTAAATAATGTCTGGCTCCTCCTATTTGTTGGCCAAGGGAGTCGGGGATACAGTCACTGTGTGAAACTGAGCAAGTCCCTTCCCCTCATGGGTCTCCATTTCCCATCTAAAAGGGGACCTTTTAGATCATGTCTCAGGGCTCTCAGACCTCAGATGGGCCACGTTCCATTAGACCCCTGGTCCTCAAACACCAGGAGCCATTGGGCTGTGGAGAAGTTCCAGGGAGCCTGTTAAAACCCACATCCTGGCTCCACCTTAGATTCCAATTCCAGGGGTGGGAGCTGGGCATCTGATATTCGGTAGCACTCCAAGTGGTCCCGGTGCCTGGCAGGTTTGCCTGGGTAACAGCGATGTCCCCAGGGCCCAGCATAGAGGCCCTTGAGGAAACACGTGTGAATGTGTCTGACCTGGGGGGCATGGGTCAGCTCTGGGGGCCCAGCTCCTAGGCCTTTGCCTGGTGTAAGGATGGCTTCTGGAGCAGGTGGCATTTGGGTTAGGCCTTGATATCTAAGCTTGTTTTAGTCATTTGTTTGTTTGCTTTGTTTGGGAGGTGCTCCCGAGTACAAAGTGAGTCTGTGCCCATTCTAGAACTTTCCTAAACACAGGAAAAGAAGAGCCCAAAGGAAAACTTACCCATCATTCCAAAACCCAGACACAATTAGGGTTCTCATTTTGTCACATCATTAGATAAGATGTTAATACTCAACCATGGTCAGTGTGGCGCAGTTGGTTGAGCATCGTCCGATGCATCGAGAGGTGGTCAGGGCACATGCCCGGGTTGCTGGCTGCTTGATCTTGGTGGGGGGCATGCAGGAGGCGGCAGATCAATGCCCCCCCCCACCCCCGCCTCACTTTCTCTTCCCCTCTCTCTAGAATCAATTTTTAAAAAACATTTTTTTAAAAAAAGATGTTAATATTTTTCGCAGGAGTGGGGACGGTGTGGGCAGAGGGCTGGGGACGGGAGCAGGCTGCACGTGTTCAGAGGCCGGTGAGTAAGGAGCGGGAAATGTGGAAACGCTCAGACTGCGCCAGCTGGTGCCGGCCCCACACACCTTCTCTGTTTCAGGGCCTGTTGCCCCAAAGTCCAGAGGGAGCACCGCCAGTCCTGGAGGTGTCGGGGACCTCAGCCAGGTCCCTGAGCACAGCGCTTATTTCTCTTTCTTCCCTCTGCCCAGGTGCTGTTTGCCCTGAACCAGACCCTGCTGCAGCACGAGAGTGTGCGGGCTGGGAGCCTGCAGGCGCCCTACACCACGGAGGACCTCATCAAGCACTACAACTGCGGGGACCTCAATGCCGTCATCTTCAACCACGACACGTCACAGGTGAGGTTCCCCTCCTCCAGCCCTGACAGCCTCTGCATCACTAGTTCCCAAGGCCAGGCCCATGTGAACCCGCCTGGCATTTATTAGACACCTACTGTGTGCCAAGCACAATCTTTTCTCCAACCATGGTAAGCAGGAGCTATTGGGATCCCCATTCTATGGGGAAACTGAGGCTCAAAGAGGGGAGGAGACTTGCCCAAGGCCACACCACTCATTATCTGTTGGGTTATCAGGTTATGAAGAGCAGTATTTGAGCCTAATGTGTGTAGACCCGGGAAGCTTAGCCTGGAAGAACAGGGTGTCCAGTTCAGCATGTAGTGAAATTAAAGCCCAGGGAGAGAAAGCCCACAGTTACTCAGACTCAGAGCGTGGGCTGGAGTCTAGCCCAGAGCATTCTACCTTGTTTTAAAGCCTAAAGGAAAAACCACCCATAGGCTGGGCAGACAGTGGGTGGGACCTCGAGAGGCTGAGCATGGCTCTACCAGGAGAAGGGTGAGAGTTTACATTGGAGGCACAGCTGGGGCCTAGTCTGTGTCATTCTGCCCGTGCACCACCCCACTGGAGCCAGCGCTCCTGAGAGCAAGGGCGTGGTGCTCATCTCTCGGTCCCAGTGCCAGCACAGGGCCTGGCACAAGCGTGCATCGGTGAGCAACTGGTGCATGAACGACTGTAGTAAGACACACATTGTGCATGGTTTGGTGTAGAGAAGGAGGGAGAAGGGATCCAGAGACCTGGCCACAGGAGGCTCAGATTCTGAGAGCTCTGACTATCATGGTGAAGAAGGAAGGAGGAGAGAACTGTGATACCACTAGGCTCATAGGCATCCCACCAGCCATTCCCTTTGTGACAGAGCCCTGCCCTGCGTCCTCTGTTAGGGAGAGGCTGGTGGGCCCTGAGCAGACAGAGCTGTGTTGCAGAGGGGACCTGGTCACCACCTGAGATGTCCAGGCTATGGTGTGGCCGGGCTGGGGGGAGGGGCATGCAGGACAGAGCCTCACCAGGCTGTGGCTGACACTAAGCTGAGGGAGGGGGGACTGGGGTGGCCTCAGGAGATGGCAAGCTCAGATTTTCTGTGATCTATCTCTGGCGGGTGGGCTGCCTATGTCATTGTAGGGATTAAGTAAGATCAGTTTTGGAAAATGCATAGCACAGTGCATGACACAAAAGAAGTCACAACTAAATGTCAGCTTCGTACGACTAGCCTGGGGCATGGAGCTGTGATGGCAGAGGCCACAGTAAGCGTAGCTTAGGCAGGGGCAGAGACGGAGCTGACGAAGAGATGGCCTTCAGAGCCTTCAGAGAACCAGGAAGGCCTCCTCTGCTTGCTGACCAAGAGTGTGCATGTGCGGAAAAGCGAATCTCCATTCAGTCCTTAGGAAGCTAAAGAACATTTAACAAGGACAAGAGTCAGCAAGTTGAACGTCAAAGCTGCAAAGGAGTTGGCTGAGGCACCCAAGTTCCCTGGGCTGCCCAGTGGCTGCCAACAGTCTCTGCCTGTTTCATGCTGATGAGCCTTTGCTCAATGCCAAGGGTGGGTCCTGTGGGTCCTGTGTTGAGCCTGGGTGTGGATGGGAGCAAATTAATGATGTCATTAGACTTTTTGGAAGATCCTAAATCTTCTGTGACAAATTTAAGTGCAGGACACATGATAAGATATTAAAGAGGATACGTCAGACCCCCAGGGCGCTAGAGCAATGGGTCTGAGATGGGGGGTGGGGGGGTGAGACTGTGCGTGTGACCTCAGTGTGGGCTCCCCTGACCCATGACCCGGATGGGGTCAGGTCTGACAGTTGAGTGCTGTCTTCATGCATCAGAGGCCCCAATGGCCTCATCCTTTTTCTTCACCCCATTCATCCAACAGACACCTTCTGAGAACTCCCACTGGTCCAACGCTATATCGAGCTAGGGGGCCATAGAGCATCCTCAGACTGGGTCTGTTGCCATGGGTGGAGCTTGCAGCCCAGTGGGGAGTCAGACTTGCCCATGAGAACACTGTGGGATCTGTGTCTGAGAGGATGTCGAGGGGTTGGGGAGCCACAGGAGGCAACTAACAAAGTGAACATGTCTTGGTTTTTTCCAGGATATTCCAGGTACATGGTTAGGGAAGACTGCCCCACACCTGGTAGTTATTCTGACTCTTAATTATATATGAGCTTTCACTCCCAAAAGTGTCTGCGTATGGACAATAAAAATATTACCTTCATGTTACCAATTTCGAAACTGAGTCTCAGAGAGGTCAAGTCACTTGCTAGTTATAGAGCCGCCCAGCAGGAAAGTGACAGAAGAGGGATCCAGCCCAAGTTGTCCTGGCTATCTGACTTCTGGACCCATATTCATATCACCATAACTCTACTGCCTCTCAGCTCATTCAACCATCCACTCATTCACTGTATGAACAAATATGTGTGTGTTGGTACAACAGTGTCTTACATTCTTTCCCATGTTCAAGGAATGAAGAGAAGCCTGAGAGGGCCATGCTTCCAGAAATAACCCCTCTGGGTCCCAGCTCTCTGTATTCCCCTCCACTTGGAAGCCTGCAGGGTTGCCTTTCTTGTGGCTGCAGCAAATCTAAGTGTGGCCTGTGCTGTCAGGGCTGCCAATCATCCCTTCCACAGTAGGGGATGTAGTAAGAACTCCATTTCTTTATTTATCCATTTGCCCAAAAGCCTGTGGGCACCAGCCTATGGGACACTGGCATGGCTGCTACCTACAATTCTATAGGAGACACCAGCCATAGCATTGTCCTGCTCAGCCTAGAACAACAAGCCAGGCCTTTCTGGCAAAGCAGCCCCTCCCCTCTCGCCCTGAGGAGCACACTGGTCCTTGGCCAGCAGATATCAGAGACAGATGTTCGGCCTTCTCCAAGTCCCTCAGGGTTCAGCCTCTCTTGATGCCTTCATTCTCCTCAGAAAGAGTGTTGACAACTCGTCAGTGGCTCTAGAAGCCATGTGGCTGGGCCACATGATTCTTCTGGGGGCTAAAACCTGCAGGAAATTAGTCTTCTGGTGCCAGACTCTCCATCTAGCTAGTCCATCAGTCAGCTGGGCTCGTGGCCTGTGCTTTAGGCCTGGGTTAGTGAAGACAGAGAAATGGAAGAAGAGACACCAGGAGGAAGACATGCCGTGAGCAACAGCGTGGAGGTTGACAGGTGTGGGAAAGGGAAAGTCTGTTCTCTTTCCTCCATGGCCATGGCGTCCTCTAAGTCACACCAACATGTTGCAGGCCACGGTGCAGGACACCTGGACCCGCCACCCAAATGGAAAGACAGCTTGCTGGGAATGGAAGAATGCAGCAGAAGGCCATGTGGTCAGGAAGGACAGCACAGCTCTATGTTCAAAGTTCCAGAACCCTTTTCTGGACACCTCTTCTGTTCCAGGCATTGATAAAGGCTCTGCCCCTGAACTCAAGTTGCTCTCTGCCTAGTTCAAGAACATGTCAGTGATGCTGGCCCCAGGTCACGTGGCTGGGTGTGGACAGTGGGCCCAGAGCTGAGAAATCGTGATAGTTCCAGGCCAGGTTGCTAAACAGGCCACCATTATGGGAGAAAGCCATGTCTTAGAATTGAAGTTTCTAAGAAGGATGGAGGAGTTTGGTTATGTCCCAGGAAGTGATGGAGCTGGGGGTGGAGAGATAGTGGTGGCAATAGACAGTGGCCAACCAAGGCTCAGGCATTGGGAAAACCCAAGTTAGGACCCCTGCTCTCATCTCTGCAGGGTGGAGTGGGCTGAACGTGGCTCATAGAGCAGCCGTCATCTCATGTAACCCCCAGAAAACATTGTCAGCCCCATCTTACAAATGAGGAAACTGAGGCTCAGGCGAGTTAAGTAACTTGGCCAAAGTCACACAGTGTCAGAACAGGGCCTAAAGCCCATACCCTATGGCCTTTCTGCTACACCAGGCAGCTCAGCTGACCATCCACACCTGCTTGCTGAACAGAATTTCCCGGATGTGCCAGTGCCAGGCTGCCGAAGGGAGGGCAGTGAAGCAGCTGAGCTCGGGCCGCCTCCCGGGACCTCAGTGCCTGGAAGCTGAGGTTCAACAAGGCAGAGACACGGAAGGGTACATGTGGGAGGGCAGCAGTCTGGACTCTTTTCCTGGCTCAGCCTCTTTGCTAGCTATGTGCCTTTGCACATGTCTCTGGACCTTTCCATTCTTGCTTTCTTCACTTATAAAGCTGGAATAACCACACTCATCTCAAAGGGTTTGGGAACTGATGAAAAACATATAGCCCACTGTGGGGACATAAGAAAGGTAAGTTGCTCGCCCACCTGGGCTGTGTGTGTGTTTGAAGCCCACCTTGCTCCAGAAAGAACTGAAGGCAGCCTCTGTCTTACCTTTACAGCTGCCCAACTTTATCAACACGACACTCCCGCCGCACGAGCAGGTGACAGCCCAGGAGATCGACAGCTACTTCCGCCAGGAGCTCATCTACAAGCGGAACGAGCGCATGGGGAGGAGGGTCATGGCGCTGCTTCAGGAGAACGAAGACAAGATCTGCTTCTTTGCCTTCGGAGCAGGTTTGGGCCGGAGTGGGGAAGGGATTATTTTCAGAATTCCTAAGGGCTGGGAGATTTGCTAAACCCTTTCCTGATCTCTGCTTCATAAAGGGAAAAGCTGAGGCCCGCAATGGGGCAGGGAAAGCTACAATGTGCTTAGCAGAGCTGGGACCCAAAGTGGTTCTCATCCTTCTAGTCAAGAGTTTTTTCATTATAGTCCCCGTGGTAAAGGGGGTGGCCCCGGCCAAGGCCAGGACAGCTTCTGTGGCCCCTTTATGTCCCAGGAGGCCATGTCGAGAGCCCAGAACTGAGCTAGCTCCCACTACCCAGTCCAGCCTTGGATCCCCCACCTCCAGCAGAGCCAGGACCATGTGACCTAGTGAGCAGAGGTGGGCTCTGGTATGCCCCAGTCCTGCCTCCAGATCTCAGCCCCAGCCCCGTCCAGGCTGCATGACCTCTGGATGGTAATTTTTCAGAGGCTCAAGTCCTCCTTTATGAGTTATAGCAATAACTATTCGATGAATTGAAAATATCTGTCTTGGAAAAGAGTTATAGAAATTAGTGACAACATTTAAATAGCCTGGCATATACTAGTAGTAAGAACTCACAGTGGTGGCTACCATTATCATGATCATTATCATGATCATCATCATGACAATTACGACAAGATGTATTATCCCAATGTGGACCATGAACTGGATGCTTCGTCTGGGGGCTCTGGCCTCTTTGTGCAAAGCGAAGTCCCAATGTCCAGATGCAGGGCTTGCTCAGCGTCTCTCCCTGTTCCTTCCCCCCCATCCCTCTTCTTCTCCAAATTCTTTCTTCCTGTCTCTGTGCTGGCACTGCTGATGACAGTGGTGTCCACGTTGGGACCAGGAGGTTGCATTTGCCTCCTTTAGTAGTCAGCTTTTGCTCCAGAGCTACAACAAACATATATTTTTTCATGTTACCATGGTTTGGGTTGATGAAATTCATCTTCTGTTTCATGAGAATTAAGCAAGAGGCCTGGTGAGCACTCACAGCCACTGCCCTCTCACCCCTCCCTTCGCTGGACTGTTTCCCACACAGGGTCTTCCTGGGGCAGGCTGAGTTAGACCAAGTTGAGCAGTCGGTCTAACCTGGAAGGGTCCTGATTTCGTTACGGGACATGTCCACTGTTTGAGGTCCGCCTTCCCCCTGCCTCCTGCTCCTGCCATTCAATCCCATATACTTGAAGGGCAAGAGCTAGGGTGCGTCTGTCTGTGCCTGTGTTCCCTCCTCTGCAGCCCTCAGCACATGGATGAGGAGAGGCACATGATGGCCTCAGACACATAGGACCTCTGGGACAGTCTCTTTAAGGCCACGAACTCTGTCTGGGTGCCTCTGTGGTTTCATCTCAGGCCTTCCCATATCATTGGGCCCTGGGGACCTAAGTCAGTCCTACTCATGTTATCCATCCTCTGTCCATCCTCAAAGAAGGCACAGGGCCCCCAAGGCTGCGGGAGGAAGGACGGGAGGGTCTGTGCCACTGGAGATATGCCTAGCCACCTCCCACGTGTGTGTCTGCCCATGCATAGGTCTCCCAGAACCAGTTTCATTGGCTGTCCCAAGAAATAGCTTGGGAGACAGAAACATAATTATAAGACACCCACCCAATGCTAGCCCAACCTTGCCAGGTGTCTGAGCCAGGCCCCTGCTGTGGTTCTGCCACAGGCTAACCTCAGAAGCCAGTGGAGGCCCTGAAGGCACCAGGCTCTGGAGCACTGGGGAGGGGCCATGCAAGCTAAGAAAGGAGGTGGGTAGTGGCACTTGTGCCTGCCCTTCCACCCAGTGCCAGCCCCTCCCCTCCAACTCCCTACACCCCGCCCAGTGCCTATTCAGACCTTTCCAGTGCTGATGGCAGACTGGCCCCTCCTCTGTGCTGCTCCACAGGGGGAGTTGGGCCAAAGGGTCAGGGCTTTGGAGTCAGGATGCCTGGGTGTAAAGTGTGGCTCTACCTCTGTCCGCTAAGTGAGCCTGGGAAAGCCATCTCACCTCCATGGGCCTCAGCCTCTCCTTTGTAAAATGGGGATAATATGCCCGTCTCATATGATTATGTTGGATACACTCATTTTAGATCACAGGGCTAAAACTCTGCACCAGGGTGGAGGGGTTCTTATAATAAAACCCCTACTGTGTGTCAGCCATCAGTGTATCCTCTTGGATTACATTGCCTTTGATCTTCACAGTAACACCACAAGATGGGTGTTAATACACACATTTTCCAGATGAAAACCAAGGCCCGGAAAGGGTGAGTGGCTTCCACAAGGCCATTTCTCCTGTGCAGGTGCCCTCGCCTGGACACTTCCAGAAATGCTGACCATTTTGTGGGGAGGTTGTCTTTTTAGCTGGTGCACCTCACAAAAGAATACTCTCCTCATGTCTGTGATGTTTCTATTTGGCCTTCTCTGGAGGCCAGCAGAAGAACCCTTCAGCAGGTTCAGGGGTAGTTGGGCGGCAGACATGTGTGCAAACTCTGAGCAGGCCTGGGTGATGTCTGGGGGCCTGGATGGAAGCCCTGCCTCTCGGGGAGGTAGCTGTGATGAGTGTGCAAATCAATGTTCTGGAAGGAACCAGGATGCTGCTGTGGAGGAGTGAGCCAGCCCTGGGGAGGGGAGGTCAGATTCTTGACTGCCAGGGTCCTGCAGAGGGACAAGCTGACCCTGAAGGGCCCCCGAAGATCTTAGGTGGGTTTTTGGATTTCCTCTGATCTGCAAATAACTGAGAAAAATAAGTACAAGTTGGGTAATTTTTTATTAGCAAAGTTTATGCAATTTGCTGGCTTATCTTTTAGTCTGAAATGATCTTTTTTTTCTGCTGTGTTTGAAGTTTAACTGTTCTTTTGAAAAAATAATGGTGATATAAGACAAATGGGGCTTTTCAAGTGCTTACTTGGCAAAATAAAAAGTTAGTTACTGTATTATCCCACCCACCTTCTCTGCAGATAGGAGAGAACTGAGCATATTTAACACATGCTGGAAAAACTAGAATTAGAGGGAGGGTGATACAGGAGAGAGAGTGGGAACAAATGACTGGCCCAGGGCTCTGAGAAGGCAGGAGGGGCGTGACCAGAGCTCAGACAGAGGGTGTGGCCTTCAGGAGAGGAGACCATCCTCCCCCTGTAATCAAAGGGAAGGAGGGAGCAGGCCAGCAGGCTAGAAGGCAAGAGAGGTCTCAACTGATGGCTTCTCACAAGAGCTCCACTCTGTAAAGTAAAATGTGAAGTAATCTGCAGAGAAAAGGGAGGAAGATGGGAGATTCTTGGTGTGAAGAGAAGAGAACATTTGCGACAAATTCGAGATTGGCCACAAGAACTGACACGGACCAGAAGTTAAATAGATTTCATAGCATGGGCCAACTGTGATTGATTGGTAGTGGCTGCCTGGAGTGGGAAGATGTAAAGTGGGATGATAACACACATCAGAGCTCAGCAGAGAAGAGGCCCTGATTGATTAGTGATGCCTGCTGTGGATCAGGATTAGGGCACATGCCTGTCACATACCTGCTCTGTCTGCCAAGAACACAGACGATGCTGACTGGCAATGAGGACCCATGAACCTGCAGTGATCTCAAGACACAGGTTGTAAGATTTCCTACAGCAACACTGAACAGCTGGGGTGCACATGAGGATGCTGCCCTCCAGGCCGCTTCCTGAATTTATCCTAGTACCCCCTGCTCAGTGAGCATCCACTGTACATGAACTACTCCAGGGCAGGCACACACCTCCTCAGGATTGCCAACACCTAGGAATGTGCTATAAAGACATCCAGGACCAAATCACCCAAAACCAAGTTCATTCCATTCAGTCACATGGCATCTGCTGGACCCCAGGCCTCGGGGAGTGGGGACGGGGGTGTCTCAGTCCCACGCAGTAGACAAAAATGACAATTTTGTCCCTAGCTCCAGGGAACTGGGCTTTCTCGGGACGTGTTTACTTGTGCAACCATCCTGCATCCTGGAACAGCATGAGTAATGTCAGAACTGGCAGTGCTGGGCTGGAGACATAGCCAGACTCAAGGGAGACCTCTAGGGTCATTCATGTCGAACTCTGAGAGCCAGAGGTTACCACAGGTTACCGCACATTCTGTAACCCTCTGTAATCTGAAAATAATTCTAACTTCTGACATTGCAAAGTCCTTTGACCCAAGCATCCTATTGTTTTAGGACCATGTGGTTCTAATATCCCATCGTCTATCAGCATAGCATTCTAACATTATGGCCTAGTTTGCTTCAATCCCTCTTGGATTCCTTTGGAGGAGTGTGGAGCTAAGAGCCTTCCAGGACCTGGAACTTCCTTCTTGTCGGGCTACTGGCACCTGCCCCCACAGGAAGCAGAGGTCCTGGCAGAAAGCAGGATAAAAGGCAGGCCGTTTGAGCTTGAGAGACAGAGGGGCTGTAGCTGCTACCCCGAGCACCCCCACAGCCAGCACGCCCAGTCTCCAGGCCGGCGCCAGACAGGGTGAGGACTAACATCCCTTCTAGCCCCAACATTCAGCAATTCCACACATACCTGACAGGTTTGAGTGAAAGGAGGCAGAGTGAGGAGGTGAGACCACTTGAAGTTTCCTGGATGCAGGTCCAGCTACTTCTGAATTCTTTCATCATCCCATCGTCCTCAGGACAAGACTCACACCCACTTCCTTCCCCCCTTGCTCTTTACTCAGTGGCCTCAGGAACAGAAGGAAGCCCTTCAGAGCTCATGATTGGATACAGAAGAGCAGTCATGGCCCATGTAGGGTCTTTTCAACCTTAGAAACAAAGAGGCAGTGCACGCCAGCTGCTTTCTCCCCTCTCAGGCAAACACCCCTGGCCAGCCGCACTCCCCAGGCTGGAGCGCAGGCCCACAGTGTCTGGAAGTGTCTCAGAATTTCAGACATGCTTCACAGGACCCTGTGCCCCACCATGTGCACATCTGGCAGATGGCATATCTACTCTGGGCTGCAGTCCTTGGCCAGAGTCGCTGTTCCTGTGCAGGGCATCCAACCAGCCAGAGGAACATCCCA